GAGAGAGAGAGAGAAAGAGAGAGAGAGAGAGAGAGAGAGAGAGAGAGAGAGAGAGAGAGAGAGAGAGAGAGAGAGAGTTGAATGCAGCTTGAAAGACAAACTCTGTGCTGTGCAGTAGTAAAAAGCCAGACTCTCGTGATGTAAGGTGGGTTACAGGGCTCACCGGAGTACTTTTTCTGCCTCTGTGTGTTCATCTCATGCTAATTATGTTACATAGGCTGCAACTTGTTAAAGGATGGGGGACAGAAAAGGAAGTAGGATCGTTTCTCAGTTTGTGTGCACCATCCTTGTTTATGGGCCATGATCGTCTTCTTCTTCTTATTCTTCGTTTTTGAAGAATAGGCCCTTTCATGCCTGGCTACTTTTCAGTTTTGGGGAGCATCGGTTCGGTTCCTATTCCACCAGCGAGTCAGTAAATACAATAATACGCAAACTCTTGACGCCCCCCCATTTTACGGCCTGGGGATCTCTGAGAGCATTGATTGCTTCCTTGCGGAAGGATTGACTGTCAGCAAGCCAATTCCTTATGCAGTGGTCGCCCCTCCCTGCCCCCCTCTATCGGTACTATTTCCTTTTAAACCACCAGTACCTTTCCCAGCTATTTTCAGAGATGTGGCTCGTTAACGGCCGCAACTTTGGGGCCGGGCCGGGCCGCTATTGATAAATTACATCAGCGGCTGTTGTCGTGTTTCGGGCCTCTGAAAGTCGTGGTGAGGGGTCCGCGGCCGATGTGCAAGGTACAGTGGTTTATGAAAAACATTCTTTAAAAACTGCCAGACTAGCCCTTTCAGTCCACCTCTTGTGAACTCCCTGATCGGCCTTAGTTTTTAGACCAATTCTGGTCCTGATTCTTGAGCCTGCTACCTGGGCCAAGGCCCAACCGCGAGTCCTGCTCCATATGCCTGGGTCAAACTGAGGGCTGAGTTTACACAAAGCCATCCTCATTGGAATCCCCCCATGTTGTGCTTCTGTACAGCACCTTTCGCCAGACACTTTGTCCACCACCTTTCACAGGCAAAGTCAAAACGTCCTAAGAATGTTGTATGACAGTATAACCTATACCGCGTTCTTTGGAGGCCGGGCGCCACCGGACCAAAATGGCTGGTGGTGCCATCCTAAACGAAAGAAGAAAGTTGGGCTGGGGCTTCAGCAAAACTTGGCGTGGAGTTCGTTTCCGCCTCGGCAAAAGGAGGCTCAGAGGTTGTGGTGGTTTGATGCTGGTACCCTCCCAAACCCTGATCTGGCCTAACCGAGTACTGTTGCCCACATTTCTCCCTGCTTTCCTGCTCTTTCTCTGGGCATTTCTTGAGGTCTTTTTCAGCTCTGTACCAGTCCATGATGTATGCCGTCTCCAGGAGCTGCATGAATCAATCCCAAGCTTCTGCTGCCGGTACTGGCTGTTCATCTGTTGTTTCCATGCACCTTCTCTTCCATACTGTGCATCACGTCAGGGGTCTGATCCCTGTTTTCTACTTTAGCCAGTAGTCTGCCAAGCAGTAATGACCGGGTGTTTTATTCGGGCAGAAGACGGTAGTCTTTCTGCCACATTTGGTTCCTGTTCTCTGGCCTTGCGCTTAGAGGCTAGAGGTTGTTCCAGAGGCTGTGGCTGTTGCATTCGATAGGCTTTCGAGTACGTTTCTACACAACTCCGGACACGAAGCTGTTATTTTAGGCCAGGGTTCACGCAAACTTCCGGAGCTTCCTTCCTCATCTCATCTTTGCTTAAGAGTCGAGTGGTTAATTCTCAAGACAGCCCTACCCCTTCCTGGTTTCCTTGTCTCATTTGTGCTCAGAGTGGAGTTGTTAATTCTAAAGAAAGCTCTACCCCTTGCTGGTTCTGCGTCTGACGCGAGCTGTAAGTCGATAAGCTTGTGATCTAGGCCTGTAAAGTGGGGCAATGGCCCGATCCTTGTGGAGTGTTATGGCCTCGAAGAGGTTCGTCAATCTAAGGAAGTAGTCTTTATTCTAGATAGACTATTCTTCCCCTCGACACTGTATCTCCCATTCCAGATGCCCTCCCGAGAGTCTGTTCAGTCCTGGGTCCAGGACTGCATTTCAGTCGCCGGCCAGGAAGAGCGTTCAAACTAGTTCTGCTTGGCGGTTGCCTTTTAGTCTTTGAGTGAAGATGGGGAGACTTTACGTTCACCCAGAAGAGCCTGAGTCAACCGATTCAATATGTGAATAGCGGATATAGATTAAAGGTAAATTGTCTGCCTTCAAAGCAGGGGATGCCAGCGGTATACTCGATTCTCCTCTCCGAACCGTACCGCGCGTTGTTGCAACATTCCTGGGTAGTAAACTGTAATTATTCTCCAATGCCCCTCTGTCGTGCAGTTGAAGCCCATGGCAACCAGTTTGACGCTGGATGCTGGATTACCATGGTCTTGATCTGTTGATCTGATATTGGTTCTGTTCGCTGCAACCATTTTCGAACGGATCAGCATTGCGGAGCTTGCTGAGCTTTGTATTAGGGAAACTAGAACAGTGGCACATACTGTCCATGCAATCGTAGGGAGAGACAGTACACAAAATGCATACCTTTCACTCCAGACAAACACCAATCACAAAATTTGTACACATCCCTCCTCGCTGAGCGTGTACGGAGTGAAGGGGCCCATTAAACTGGTCTAACCTATCGCAGCCTCCTGAGCATTTCTGTTTCCTTTGCTATATGCTTTCAAGTGATTGGATGTTGAAGTTGATTGCTCAATTCTGACAATTTAGTCTCTTTTTTTTGGGGGTGGAGAAGGGGGGGGAGAAGGGGGGGAGAAGGGGGGGGAAAGGGGGGGGGCAATGTCAGGAGTCTACAAATTGGTTGAAGGCTCAGACAACTCTGTGCTGCTGTTTTTTTTTTCCCTTTTTTAAAGAGATTGGCGCTAGTATTGTTGCATTGTCCTCATTCCATAAGGATTAGGAGTCATGATCTGTCTACGAACAGTTACATATGCATAACATTCATGGAGATGGACTGGGTAGTTTTGTACCTGTTCGTGCTTCTCCTGTCAGACTCTTCTTTGATCGGAGTTACGGTGGTGCTTTTGCGTTGAGCCCCTTTCTGCAGCTCGTCTCGGTATCTGCACGAGGGTGATTCGGTTCGGTGTTCCATATCGTCGTCGGTGTATACACGATGGCGAGCTCTGAAGGTAACGAGCCGCGGTCGTTCGCGCAGGCAACTAAGGATCATCTTCTTGTGGACATGCTCAGAAGTGCCCGCGGTGGGTCGTCCACGGAATGGAAGGTCCTCGTGATGGATGACGTCACTGTGAAAGTGATGTCAACGCGTTGTCATATATCAGACATAACGGATGAAGGGATCTCGTTGGTCGAGAGCTTGAAGAAGAGGAGACAGCCGCTTACAACTCTCGATGCTGTTTACTTCATCACGCCGTCCCGTGAGAGTGTAACGAAGTTCATGCAAGATATGACCGGAAGCGGCCCGCTATATCGGAAGGCGTATGTATTCTTCAGCTCAACTTTGCCCAGGGACCTGCTTGGAAGAATCAAAGAGGATCGGACTTTGCTCTCACGGATTGCGGCGCTGAAAGAGGTAAACATGGAGTACCTTGCTGTGGACACACAGGGCTTCGTTGTCGACCTCCCGGAGGCCTTGCCGCATCTCTTCGGGGAGCATAGTGCGGGATCACGGGAGTTCGACTTGTGCATCGGCAACATCGTGACCAGGCTTACCACTGTCTTTGCGGCACTGAAGGAGCTCCCAGCTATTCGGTTCCGATCAACCTCATCGAGTTCTGCCGGTGCTCAAGGAGGCCCTGGAGACGTTGTATGCAGTAAGATCGCAACACAGTTGTCGGACAGGGTGTCACAACTGCAGAGGCTGCAAGGATTTCCGCAACGCGAGACGTGTGACCTCGTGATAGTGGACCGGGCGTTCGACCCGGTAGCACCAGTTATCCATGAGTTTACTTATGAGGCGATGCTGCACGACCTGCTGGAAGTCGACGGCACCAAGTTCAAATACGAGGTTACTACGAGCGGTGGAAGAACCGAAACAAAGGAAGTGCTGCTGGAGGAACATGACAGTCTATGGATGGAATTGCGAGATTCGCACATTGCAGAAGTTAACATAAAGCTGGATGAGAAAATGAGCAAGTTCCGGTCAATGAACAAGGTCGCAATGATAAAGCTGGGCCGCGATTCGCAACAGGACTTGTCGACGAAGGATATTAAGACGATGGTTCAGGCTCTGCCTCAGTACCGTGATCAGATCGACAAGTTGGGACTGCATGTCCATATTGCGACTAAGCTTATGGACAGATTCAAGGAGAAGCGGCTCAAGGAAATCGCCAACCTGGAGCAAGACTTGGTCTTTGGAGACGCAACGAGTAAAGAAATGCAGGCGTTGTTCATGGCCATCCCGAACATGCACCCGGAGGATAAACTGCGACTGCTAATGATATACGCGGCATCTCATCCAGAGAAATTGGATCCAAAGAAGGAGAGACAGTGGATGAAAATACTGGAAATCAGCGGGGAGGACTGGAATGCAGTAAACAACCTAGAACATCTTGGTGTGTCGGTGTTCAAGAAATCTTCGAGCGCGTTCCTGAAGTTTGGAATGAAGAAGTCGAGAAGACCGATGCGAAAGGACCGGCAAGAGGATGAAGGCCAGTGGGACCTGTCCAAGTTCTCGCCGTTATTGCAGGATGTTGTCGAAGATCTGGCAAAGGGGGAGCTTTCCAAGGAAGAATATCCGTATGTGAAGGAGCCATCCGTAGTGGATACGTCGTCGTCCTCAGGAAGGGCAGGCGGTACATCTGTGAGGGCGCCGACTTGGGCAAAGAAGAGGGGGGATAAAGCTGAAGGGGATGGTGGCAGAGGTCCGCTTTCGGGCCCCCGAGGGAGGAGAATTTTTGTATTCATCGTAGGCGGGATGACGCCGTCCGAGTTGCGGACGGCACACAAGCTGACTTCGCAGTTGAAGAGGGAGGTGGTTGTAGGATCAACAAGCGTTGATAATCCTCACAGGTTCTTGCAGAATATGAAGCTCTTGAGTCAGTTAGATACGCTCGACATTTAGATACTCGATCGATGACGGACCGTATCTCTGAAGGGTTGGGTTGAAGATTCCATTGTGGTGAAAGGCTCTTCTGTAACGACGATCAGAATCGACCAGCTGGAGGCACGTTTTCTTCCCTGGAGAAACACATTAGCTGGCATCGGCCACGTGGGCACAAGTAGGTTGGGTGCTAATCAAGTTGGCTGCCTGGCCTGCGAAGGTGTGCGGGAGACAGGGAGGTATGCTGACAGGCTGGAGAACTGGCGGGTCAGAAGAGGTAGGTAATAATCTGTGAATATATATTTGCTTGCTACAGCTGTAGTCATTTGTTCGCAGTGACAGGACATAACCATGCGGTGGCTCTTCAACGATGGACCAACGACAGCAACTGATGATGGTGTCGCAATCGCTGCAGGAAGAAGGTAGCAGCATCGATCATGCATATGTTCCTGGGCAATGCTCATTCTTTTGCTCTTTAGGGTTGAACAAATCTCTGCTGCTTGGAGTTTTTTTGTGGGTATAATTGCGACAGTTTGCAGTAGTGTTTCACCAGTTTTAAACTTCAAAGCAATTTATTATGTCCTTTCAGTGCAGCAACTGCAGCAACTGCAGCGACTGACTTACAGAGGTGAGCAGAGGAATGCAGAGGAAAAAGAAGGAAAGAAGAAGACGGAGGAAGGAATGAACGAACCAGAAAGGAGAAACAAAAGGAGAAGATACAGGAAAGGAGAGTTAATACAGGAGGCTGAGGAGGGAATTGAAGAGGGGGGTGTGGTAAAAAAAAGAGCAAGGAGGCATGAGGAGGAAGAACAACAAGATCAGGGAAAATGATAAAGGGGAGAAGAGAAGAAAGGGGGGAAAAGATGAAGGTGAGGCCAAGGGGGTCAGAAGGGGTCAGGACGGGTAGTCGGAGTTTGTGCCATCCCGTAGTAGCTGGGTGTAATTGTTGTGCAGGACCTGCCACGATATGCACTTGGTAAATGACGCAAGCGACCCGGTTTTGGCGTTAACACCTGAGATCCTTTTGTGAATGCCATTTCTGGGGTCTGGGATAGAGTTGGGGCAAGAATGAGGATGCAGGGGGGTGATAAGTGGTGAGTACCATTTGGGAATTTGCCTAGCCTCTTGTAGTTTCTCTGCGTGCATATGACGCATATATAGTTTGTATGGAATGTATATGTAGTATGTGGCTGGGATGCAATTCTTATTGTTGGGATATTAATATCGTATTGGCTGCAATCAGTAAATGCAAGGCTTTAGCGTAGAGATCTGGGCTCACCAGTTGCTTCGATGCATGGGGTTGAAGATTGGGTCTCGCAAGTTGAAGCTGAGAAGTGTGTACGTGGGTGCCATGGCCGCGGCCTGATGTATTACTACATAATAACATGGCAATAAAAAAAATTTCCTTCTTTTTTAATATATAAACAGGTCCTTATGGTCCCGGCTCCATATCCGGTCTGGGGATTGTCATTCCATTTCTTTCTTTTTTCCCCTTTTGCGTCAGTGCAGTTCCTTTTCCCCCGGCAAGTCATAAACCTTACATCAACATCAAGTACACGCTCGCCCTTCCTTCCTTTCGGCCGAATGAACCCTGACGGGCCTGACCAGCATTCATCACTACGTTCCGAGGAGGACCGACTGTTGGCTTGCTGTTTCTCGTCTCATCCCTGTCCGACACTTTCTCGAGCATGTCAGAAAAGTGGTGTGCGCGAAAATGAGGAGCCAGAGATGACATGTGCAGTTTGTGGTCTTTGTTATCCGACTTGCTTCTGAGCGCTTTCTGCTGTGCCTTAAACCACCACTCTACCGGATGTCGAAAAAATGGGGGACTGGTAGCACAGGCTCGTGAGGGCTACCGGTAGGACAGTGTGGAGAACCGGCTTAGTGGCAAAAATGGAAAATGCGCCGAATCGGTGTGACAATTTTTTCACATTCGAAATGACTTTTTTTTTTTTCATTTTTCCGATATTTTTCCTGGAAAGGTCACGACCTGATTTACCGGATCTCAAATTTTCATTTTTGTTCGGTGCATTATTTTGAGCACAAAAATCGCTGAAGTTGGAGTGCTATTCCGTTGGCCCGTAGGTGGCAGTGGCAAAAATGGAAAATGCGCGATGTTTATTACACTGTTAATTCCTTCTTCTTCTTTTATTTCATTTTTCTGATATTTTTCCTAGAAAGATCACAACCTAATCTACCGGATCTCAAAATTTCAGATTTTTCTGTGCGTATCTGAGCACGAAAAATCGCCAAAGTTGGCGCTCCGAAATTGCTCGACTGGACCCGCCTATAACAGTTGGTCGCCACTTCGAGGGGATCTCAAAATTTCAGATTTTTTGAAAAACCCAGTCCTAACTCACAGGAATGCCAATTTGAGGGGATGGTGGATTAAATGTCCAGACTGGTATGTGGGGTCTTCGCCGCTTTCCAAATTGTGCGGTCCTTCCACTTTATGCATATTCCTTGTATTGTTGCCACCTTGCCCTTGGCCGGCCAGGTATGCTGGAACTTCATTTTCGGCTGTTGTTCAGGCTCGGGGTCACGCTGGATTAACAGTGTGACCTTTCCTCCATGCACAAGACTTCTGCGTCAATGAGGTCTCTGGTTGATGCCCACACCTTTGCTCTCGAATTCCTTGCGTCATCCAGCGCGATGCTGCATCTCTCCTTCCATATTGCCCATAGTTCGACCTTTCGCACTGAGTCACACCCTACTCGTTCTGATCCGCGGGCGAGTTGGCCTGCCTTGGAGTGACCGGGTTAACTAGCTGTGGTGGGGCTGCATGTTGTCCGAGCGGAATGTTTTGATTACCGTGTCCGTGGTGTGGTGTTGTGTGTGTGTGGTGTGTGTCCAAGCACACTACAGCCCTGGGGGTTGGTGGGCTGGATATCACAACCGGTATGGATCCATTTTTTATAACACCTCCAATGGTTGTAGTGGTTATGATCCTTTGTTCTTGAGGCTGAGGGTGCCGGTCCGAGGCCGTGCGTGCACCGCGGGGCCTGATGCATAGAACTAGTAAAACCACCTTGTTCCCTAACTACTGCTAAAACTAGTGGGAGTATTAGTCCACGGTAGGAGCTGGAGAGGTTGTTCTGGGATAGGGGATGCCGACAGCTGACTGCATAGCTCAGCTGCTATAGCACCGTGTTATGTTGTTGTTCTGGGATAGGGGATGCCGACACGACAGCTGATTGCGTAGCTCAGATGCTCTAGCCCCGTGTTATGTTGCCTCCTTACATCTGACTAAGCAGTTAATAATATCTTCTTCTTGTTCATCGTCTGAGCATGCTATGCAAAGGACGGAACTATTCGGATCAGTCGTTCACCTCCTGATATGTAGGGATTGGTAGGTCGAAAGACTCGAACTATTCTGGTCAGTTGTTCGTCTCCCGATATGTGGCGATTGGTTTACTGGTAATGCTGTGCAGGTTATGAAACTTGTGAGCCATTTCTCGGCCTAATCTGCTACGTCTACTGTATACACATTCTATTAAAGTTCCTAGGGTCGGGGGACCAGACTGTGCCCATCTGTGAGATGGGCCGTCCGATAGGCAGCGTGCTTTCTGGCATGATCGGCAGCATCGATCGACGGTGTGCCAGAAAACGTGACTGGGAAAGCGGCGGCCATTGGAAATTAGAGGCTGCGTGACCATTGGAACCGCCAAAAAAAAAAGGTGGGGAAACCAAAGGTGGTGGTGTATCATTCCCTTTTCGAAGGGAAGATTCATTTTTATTTTTTTCCCTTTTTGGTGAGCGGTGCAGCGAGGCCCGAAGGGAGTTTTGGTCTTGTTTTTGTCTTTTCTTTTTCCTTTTGTTTTTGCCTATCGGGTATTGTGGGCCAGATCGTGCTCATCTGATTGCATGTGGATTCAAACTTAGGTCTGAATTACTTGGGTGTGCTGCATACAAAGAACTACGCGTTGGGATTCTGCCTCTGGCAAATGGCGACGGCAGTTTGAACGCGCTGTCGGGCTGCGTTCAAACAGCTGTCCTCATGACTGATCTCTCTCTCTCTCTCTCTCTCTCTCTCTCTCTCTCTCTCTCTCTCTCTCTCTCTCTCTCT